TCTCCTGCAGGGTTAGGGGTAGGAGACGTTAATTTCTCATGCACGAGATTACTTTGTGAGGGATGTCCTCCCCTGGGGTGGTTGCTGGGTGGGAATTGGCCCTGAAAAGCCCCCACGGGGAGTGGCAATTAACATATGTATGCACCATTCGTATGCATGTATCTTTCGCTCCGACGAAGGGCTAACGCTCGAAACGTTAGCTTTTGTAATCGTTACGGTGGCCAATTTACCATTTCAACTTTGTTGATATATCCAAATTATTTCGTTACCCGCACCGACGTAGCCCCAAACACTTTCTTTAGAAAGTATCAGCCTTTATTCATATGTATGTACGTATGTCTGTATAGCTAAAAGTGTCCAAGTAAAACGTGCAAAGTGGTAGTGGCCTCCTTTTTTCAGGGAATTCAAAATAAGCGCAAAGGATAACGAAACACGATTTGTCGTGAAATCAGGAAAATAAATCAAAAATTGTGCAGAAATATGCGTCACGTACATCTACGTGAATTGTGCTTCTTTTTAATCGACAGTGAGTAATTAGGGCTAGCATTCATGGTATTAAATTTCATTCTAATATTATCAACTGCATAGAAATAACTATAGGATTGACTCTACCAACCTGTTTTGAAGGACACACACTGTCTAAACAAGACTTTTTACTTGGGGTAGAACAGTCACACATTTCTGCCATTCCCAAAAAGCAGGCACATAGACAGCACCTCTCTGCATCATTGTCATTTGCACAACATCCACAGCACAGCTCTGATATCCATGCTGGGCAGATATTTATTCCTTGTGACTGTTGATTGAAACAAGAAGAATGTAAATTACAGGGTAATTTAAACAGTGTAATATCTCTCTATGGTAGGAGACATTGTGGCATGGTGGCTAATTAAACCTAGGAGTGACCAACATGTAATTTCTCCTTATAGCGACACTGCTGAATCGTTCATTACGATCACAAGAATAAAGGAAGGGATTGACAACTTCTCCTTGTCAGTACCAAATTAAGCGCCCCATTATCTGCTGTCAGCATGTTTAAAAAACTGCATCTAACAGGTTAAAAAAAAATTTGGCTTCTTTGAGAAAACATTTCTATAAACCCTAGCCTTAAAGTTTTTCTCTTGCAAAGGGCTTAAGCTCAAAGCATCTGCTTTAGAAACAGTTTAGCTAATTTACATGATTGTAATACTCCACCAATGTAGCATCACAGTTTATTTAGAAACTTACCCCCTTCTATGAAGTTTGGGGGCAAAGTGTCTTGATGAATCATGGAATATTGCATTCACATACCCAGATATAAAAATTCAATTGAAACTGAAGTTCCCTAAGGTCAATTTGGGGTTACACGGAAGTATAATATAAGCCAATAATTCATAACGCATGCAATCCTTTGTCAAAATGAAATTGTGGAGGAAATTGGGACTACGGTTTTGTTTTAGAATAGTATGAGTTACACAGGGTCATTTTATGCATGACCTGTTCATGTGCCTACCTTTAAGCATTGCCTGATTATGAGGAAAAGGAAGACAAGCGCTAAGTACGCTCCAACAACGATCATGACAATCGCTGCAGTCGGTAGCGCTGAGTCACTGTTTGTTGTGAGAGCTGGAGTGGGCTGAGGAAAGAGAACACATTGAGAATACTATCGTTTATTTTTATCTATTTTCTGGCTTTATCTAGCGGATTAAATTGATCTGCTCTAACGGAAAATGCATTTCAAACTAACAATACGTAAGCTTCATAGTCGTGCTCGTAGGATAGCACTTCAATTTAAGCTAAGGTATTAAACAGGATTAATTTCAACTCACACTCGGCGATAAAGAACGATTGACTTTTTTGTGTAAGCCGACAGAGAAAGGGTCAACATACGACGGGTTAACCAGCAAATCAGGTTTTGTTTAAACGTAAGCTTAGTCTTACACATTTCTACCGCTCAAAAATTAAACTATTAATATTGGCACAACAACAACAGTGTGGACAATGTTTACTTACACGGATAGTTGGAGCCATGATAGATCTTCTATCTACTTGTTCGTTCTCTTTACCGTTTAAAAAATAAAATAAAGTATGAAAATCAAGCGAATCATCTTCCCCATAACTTCATCGTTACAACCACGATCCTCTACGCTAAACCAAGAAGATGTTTTGTAAACAACTCGCTAAACTGAGCAAACTGTATCAAGACCACATCTTGCACGTGAGCACCAGGCTAATGCTTGCTAACTTCCACCGTAGAATTCGTTCTTTCTAGCAGCTCAAAGTTTATCAGTTGTAAAACACAGTCTTAACAAAAAGAAACTTGACTTGTACAGCTATACACAAAAAAGTCGTGGGAGTTCAATTTCTTTGAAAAGCATTCTGATCCCCAGCTCCCTTACCTCTGCAGTGGGTTGCCTCGTTTTCGCGTGAGTGCGTATAATATGAGTTTGCAAACAGTATGCATATTCTTCATATTGTCCTCTCAGTATTTCCCAAGGTACTGATACGCAGAATCTGTTTAACGATGAAGAGCTCTTTACTTGATGAGTATACCTTTATTTCTCTTGTTATGAATGTTTGATTCAGCGAGACATTATCAGGGTCAAATGGCCAACGGACCAACACTCAAGGTCTTAAAAAAAGTGAGAATATGCTACATTTCTATCTCAAGGAATGGTTAGATACTCTAGTCTTCTCGGATAGGGACGAATAAATGGAGGTCCCTTCTCCTGCAGGGTTAGGGGTAGGAGACGTTAATTTCTCATGCACGAGATTACTTTGTGAGGGATGTCCTCCCCTGGGGTGGTTGCTGGGTGGGAATTGGCCCTGAAAAGCCCCCACGGGGAGTGGCAATTAACATATGTATGCACCATTCGTATGCATGTATCTTTCGCTCCGACGAAGGGCTAACGCTCGAAACGTTAGCTTTTGTAATCGTTACGGTGGCCAATTTACCATTTCAACTTTGTTGATATATCCAAATTATTTCGTTACCCGCACCGACGTAGCCCCAAACACTTTCTTTAGAAAGTATCAGCCTTTATTCATATGTATGTACGTATGTCTGTATAGCTAAAAGTGTCCAAGTAAAACGTGCAAAGTGGTAGTGGCCTCCTTTTTTCAGGGAATTCAAAATAAGCGCAAAGGATAACGAAACACGATTTGTCGTGAAATCAGGAAAATAAATCAAAAATTGTGCAGAAATATGCGTCACGTACATCTACGTGAATTGTGTCCATTCAGGGAAGTGATCTCGTCACTGTTTCTCTAACACCCGTGGATTTCCAATCTGATCAAATAATGCTTGTTTCTGTTTCCAAGTTGTCAAATATGTTTAGGTTATGTACAAATTTTTGGGCGACAATATCGGAGAGTGAGGTCGCGGGAATTTGATGGTATCGGACGGATGATTCGATGGAATGGGATTGGTAGTGTCCAAAATAAGACTAACTGTTCGATTTCTAAAATAGTCCAAAAGCAAGAGAACAAATACTTGCTCGCTTTATCAAATTCATCGTTCAGGCTACTTTTATTAAAAGTTGCCTTTCTAAAAATTACACCTCACAATGAATAAATGATGAAACGAGCTACCTTAGTACCTCGATAAATGGTTTAAAGAAAGTTATTTTTTTTCATATAAGTAACTACAACCAGAACAACTGATAGTCTCTTAAATTGATACTAAAACTTTGTAAATTTATAATCTCTTTCTACAAATAAATAAATAAATAAAAATATTACGCACAAATGGTATAAGTCAACTGCCTTCTTGAAATTTTCAAATGTTGTCGAAATCAACTCGGCCGGGTTTGCTCTCGCATAAAAACGGGTAATTGATTGTTACCTCTAAATCACACAGATTTGAACAAGAATGACAAAAACTGAGTGACTTTTCACGGAACGTTTGACTTAAATCCGTAAAATTTTTACGCAAATTGCCGATTTAAAAAACAGCGTTAAAGCGAATGTTGGAATTCTGCATGACAATCAAGATACATCCAAATGATCGTCTGAATCCTTAAACGGATAGAGAATTTCCACATTGTAGAGAATCTTTTTGTTTCGTGTCCAACTGTATGAGTTATCAAAACGAAGAATATCTGAAGAGAGAGAAAGAGAGAATTAAAATGATCAGTAATTTTTGTTGTTATCAAGTCATTTTAAAAAGGTAAAAGCTTTCCTGTCTTTCACAGTTTCCAGCAGAGCAGAAATAGATTTAGAGCACTCTTTGATTGAGTGACGTAAAACCAAAAGCAAAGTAATATAACGGCCAATAAGAGGAGAGGAAAATACCCTGGGGAGCCAATGAGAACTCGAAGTAAAAACAAGCAAACCCAGGAACTGCTTGCAGTCTAGAAAGTTTTTGGTCTTGTTACATAAGGTACTTACAAATGCCTGGTTTCTCACAGAGAATTGAACCTTCCTCTGGAATCATGTGACAGTTCCGTCTTTCTGTTGGAATCTGAAGAATTACACAACTTTTTAAATCCTGTATTCCCCCTAGCAGGCAGGTAACATAATTTTTTGGCAGGATACGGCATGTTCACTGGTAGAGTACTAGTATTACAGTAGCGAGATACCACAAAAGTAATCTTTACACCCCTTCTTCTTTACTATCATTTCCCTCCCCCCCCCCTCTTTCTATATGCAAAATACTTATGGATCTTTAAGATGTATAAACGTTCACGCAGACCGCAACACCAGGAGCTACGTTCTCTTCCCTCAGCAAAAAGTTCGTGGGTTCTTTAACGTCCCCTGGTAAGCATTAGAGAGAAGATGCAGGAAACGGGGCCTACGAGACAGAGCTGAATAATGAAATGCTACGTCAGCGGGAATGGGGTCAATAAGGTAGGTACTTGGTGTATACCATCACATAGTCTATCTAAGACTTTCCTTCGTGTATATACTGTTATCTTAAATATCCTTGTATTCTTCTCACGTATACCAACGTATTCCCTCGTATTCCCATGTATTCCGACGTATTCCCATGTATTCCCATGTATTCCCCACGTATTCCCATGAATTCCCACGTATTTCTATGCTATTCCCATGTATTCCCACGTATTCCCATGCATTCCCATGAATTCCCACGTATTTCCATGTATTCCCACGTATTCCCACGTATTTCCATGTTATTCCCACGTATTCCCATGTATTCCCACCTATTCCCATGAATTCCCACGTATTTCCATGTTATTGCCATTTATTCCAACGTATTCCCCTGTATTCCTACGCGTTCCCATGTATTTCCACGCATTCCCACGTATTCCCATGTATTCCCACGTATTCCCATGTATTCCTGTGTTCCCATGTATTCCTATGTGTTCCCATGTATTCCTATGCATTCTTATGAGTTCCCATGTATTGCCATGTATTGCCATGGACTGCCATGTATTCCTATGTATTGCTATGTATTCCCACGTATTCCCATGTATTCTTATGTATTGATATGTATTCCCATGTATTCCCACGTATTCCCATGTATTCTTATGTATTCCCATGTATTCCCACGTATTCCCATGTATTCCCACGTATTCCCATGAATTCCCACGTATTTCCATGTTATTCCCAGGTAGTCCCACGTATTCCCATGTATTCCCACGTATTTCCATGTATTCCTATGTGTTCCCATGTATTGCCATGTATTCCCATGTATTCTTATGTATTGCTATGTATTCTCAGGTATTCTTATGTATTGGTATGTATTCCCATGTATTCCCACGTATTCCCATGGATTCTTATGTATTCCCATGTATTCCCACGTATTCCCATGTATTGTCACGTATTCCCATATATTCCCATGTATTCCCACGTATTCCCATGTATTCTTATGTATTCCCATGTATTCCTACGTTTTCCCACGTATTCCCATGTATTCCCACGTTTTCCCACGTATTCCCATGTATTCTTATGTATTCCCATTTATTCCCACGTATTCCCATGTATTCTTATGTATTCCCATGTAATCCCACGTATTCCCACGTATTCCCATGTATTCCCACGTATTCCCATGTATTCCTATGTGTTCCCATGTATTCCTATGTGTTCCCATGTATTCTTATGAGTTCCCATGTATTCCCATGTATACCTTTGTATTCCCATGTATTCCCACGTATTCCCATGAATTGCCACGTATTTCCATGTTATTCCCATTTATTCCCACGTATTCCCATGTATTTCCACGTATTACCATGTACTCCCATGTATTCCCATGTATTCCCACGTATTCCCATGGATTCCCACGTATTCCTATGTATTCCCATGTATTCCCACGTACTTCCATATATTCCCTCGTATTTCCATGTTATTTCCATGTATTCTCACGTATTCCTGTGTATTCCCACGTATTCCCATGTATTTCCACGTATTCTTATGTATTCCTATGTATTCTTATGTATTCCCATGTAGTCCCATGTATTCGCATGTATTCCTATGTATTCCCAAGTATTCTCATGTATTCTCACGTATTCCCAAGTATTTCCGTGTATTCACACGCATTCCCATGCATTCTTATGTATTCCTATGTATTTCCATGTATTCTTATGTATTCCTATGTATTCCTATGTATTCCCACGTATTCCCATGAATTCTCATGCATTCCCGTGTGTTCCCATGTTTTCCTGCGTATTCTCATGCATTTCCATGTATTCCCATGTATTGTATTCCCACGGCACATCTTTCCACGTATTTAGAATCATTAATTTAGTGCATTGCTGTGTATTCCCATACTGCTTTGTATTCCCGCATAGTCATTTATGTTCCACCTAGTACTTATGTATTTGCATACTTGGTGCTTTAATCATTCCGGTATTTAAATATGCTGCCTAAAAATAAGGTTCTTTATTTAGTTCTTAATATATGGCTGTTTCTAACAAGGACTGGGAATCACCGAATTCACGAGTTTGATTGGCTGTAATCAATATTGAACGCTTTCTAGATTTTCCCATCTAGACCGGCACCTAGCCAAACAGGAACAAGCCAGTTTTTTGTATTCTTTGTTTGTAACTTTATGAAGCTAGGCAACTTTTACAATAAGATCGGTCTAGATGCCGGTCTAGATAAGGAAAACCTAGTAAGGATGGGCCGATACCAACACCAAATATTCGATACCAGCGATACCGAGGTGGGATCGAACAATATCGATACAAGCGAAGAGTATCGATTCTTTCGATACTGCACGTGACCTAGCTACCCGCTTTAGTCTCCCGCGGCTAACCGCTGCCGAGTGGCCGAAAAGACTCCTGGCTCGAGATCGTGTATGTGCGCATTTGTGTGCCGCGTAGGATTGCCACTGTGTATCAGTGTGGCGGTTTCTTCCATTCCTTAGTACAACATTTCACTGTGAAATAGGACCTGATTTTATTAACTACTAATGTAAAATCCCTCAGTACAACTCACAACAATCCAGACTTTACAAGGACGAAAATAATGAGTTTCAAACTACAATGCCTGCTTACTAAAGTAAAACCTCAGGTGAGAAAAGAACTGAGAAAGTTCTAAAATATGGCACCACTTTATTTTCGTATTTCCAAGGGAGTCTCCGGTGTATCGTGTATTCTTTTGAAGCGCAGGAATACATGGGAATACGTGGGAAAACATGGGAATACATGGGAATACGTGCAAATACATGGGAATACGTGGGAATACATGTGAATACATGGGAATACGTGGGAATACATGTGAATACATGGGAATACATAAGAATACATGGGAATACATGGGAATACATAAGAATACATGCCAATACGTGGGAATACGTGGGAATACATGGGAATTCGTTGGAATAAATGGGAATAACATGGAAATACGTGGCAATTCACGGGAATACGTGGGAATACATGGGAATACATGGGAATACATAAGAATACATGGGAATACATGGGAATACGTGGCAATACGTGGGAATTCATGGGAATACGTGGGAGTACATGGGAACACGTGGGAATACATGGGAATACATGGGAATACAGGGGAATACGTGGGAATAAATGGGAATAACATGGAAATACGTGGGAATTCATGGGAATACGTGGAAATACATGGGAATACATGGGAATACGTCGGAATACATGGGTATAACATGGAAATACGAGGGAATTCATGGGAATACGTTGGAATACATGGGAATACATGGGAATACGTGGGAATACATGGGAATACGTGGGAATACGTGGGAATACATGGGAATACATGGGAATACGTGGGAATACATGGGAATAACATGGAAATACGTGGGAATACATGGGAATACGTGGGAATACATGGGAATACATGGGAACACGTGGGAATACATGGGACTACATGGGAATACATGGGAATACAGGGGAATATGTGGGAATAAATGGGAATAACATGGAAATACGCGGAAATTCATGGGAATACGTGGGAATACATGGGAATACGTGGGAATAACATGGGAATAACATGGAAATACGTGGGAATTCATGTGAATAAGTGGGAATACATGGGAATACATAGGAATACGTGGGAATACGTGGGAATACATGGGAATACGTGGGAATACATGGGAATACGTGGGAATACATGGGAATACNACGCCTCGGAGCAACAGAATAGGAAATCAACCATGCGACTCAAAACCCGTGTTTCCGCGGCAAAACCTGGCGCATGCGTATACGTTATTCAGCTCTGTCGGCCTACGATTTATCGTCCTTATCGTGTGCTGTTTGATTCTGTCTGTAGTACAAGGTGTAATTTTTCTGATGGCCTGTCTTTGTGTCCACCTGAGGAGATTCTCCTCGAGTATCTGTTGAGTGCCCCAATCATCCATGTCACAGTAGGTGTATCATAAAAAAAACTATCACCAATACCTCTTTCAACGCAATGAACTAGGATCTGTGTTTATCCTCTCCAAAATTTCGCTTTGTGGCTCCCTTAGGAAGGCTTGGTTGAGATAAAAGAACCAAAAAGAAGACTTCACAATAAATTCTCACCTTCTCCTCCAAATCTTTGGAATGTTTACTGCCTTTCTCTGAATAAAAGACTCCAAATCCAATATCATGGTCCACAGACTTGTACTGCCAACTACAAGACACACAACAATAACAAACTGTGAACCCCAATCTTTTTTTTTTGTGAATACAGTATGCCAACAAACGGGAAAATGAGAAACCTGCAAATAAGGCAGGGGAGGTGAGTTGAGACAAATGGTCTCTTGGGATCCTCTCATGAACTAAATCCCCCATATGTTAGGTAATTATCCTTTGAGAGATTTGCACCCCTAAGGATTATTAATCTGCTATATAATAAGGACCCAAGGATGAAAACAGGTGTTTAAAAGGTAGATGTGACTAGTGATCGATTGCTGATGATAACTCTATTCATCCCCCCCCCCTCAACTTATACTTTTTATGTTGAAGAAATATAGAAGATTGAACACTCTGAGAAACTGTTCTTAGAGATTGTTTAAGCTTCCATAAGATGCATACCTCAGAACACTGCCTGGTACTTCAACTTCAAAGTTTAGTTTCAGTGCAGTTCCCCGCTTGACACACCCAACTTCATACTGTTCATTTGTCCAAATCTCAGTTTTGTTATTATCTTTATGGTAATATGATTCTGGTACATCACCACCATAACATATCTTGAACAAGAAAAAATACAAGTAGGTGAATTAGAAAACATAAACACCAAAGTTTATCTCATAATAAAACAGCATTTGAAAAACATTTTCAAGACGAATAACAAATTCAGTTGGTAAAAAGTGTAACCTCAATAGGCTTCATGATACAACTCTTAAATTTAAGGGGGCTGAGCTGAAATAAGTTCCAACAACCTCAAGTACAAACTAACAGATTATGTGAAAAGAACCATTGATACTTTGCCGTTGGGAACCCTTGCAGGTCTAAAGATTGAAAACCTTCTGAATTTACCTTTGATCTCCACAATGGATCACCATCAGGGTCTCTGCAGGTGCCTCCATAATATTCTGGCAGATTGTCTTCATTGATATACTCAAGCAGCTCAGTTTTCCAGTCCACTAAAAGTAACATCACAACTATAATTATAACCTGCTTTGTGACTGTTTGGTTGAAGTCTGCTGTAGTTAGAAAGAGCCACTTGCAGTCAAACAGAGAAATAGCCAGAAATAGTATATGCACCTAGGGAGACAGACTGTCAAATACAGAGGAAGGCAGATAAACAGACAAGCTGTCCCACAGGGTGAGCCACAATTTGGCAGAAAATCCCTACAAACATCTTAAGAATAACCTCTAACAGCAGAACTGGAGAGGAATCTATATGTCCATCTAAAGAGCTCCATATTGGCTACTAAAAGTGATCCTTATGCTAATATTTCCTTTCCTCAAATTTTAAACAAACAGATGTTGAAACTTTGTACCTCCTAGTATTTTCACTTTGTTTCTCGTCACTTCATTCAGAAATGGTTTTACCAAAGCATATGCTATTGGGAATATCCTGGGTGCTGAAAAAAAAAATCCTTTTAATTGCTGGATAAATCACTTCATTACTAATAGTGTACCACAAACGTTAAGTGGCTTTTCAAATTCTAATTAATAAAAAAATGGAAATTTTGTTTTTAATTGGGGTACAAAATAATTTAACAGACTGTTTCCTAACTTTACTAAGTTCTACTTAACTTTGATCATCAGACAACTAAATCTTTTAAATAGTTCTTAAAAAGAAATTGGCAGGCATGATGGCTGGTCAAATAATTGAGAAGCCAAATCATGAAAGCACCTCTATTTTATGTTACATTTCACAACTAGAGGGTTGAAGTAACCTACCATTAATAACAAGAATATTCTTCATCACTTCTGGGTAGTTATCTTCATAAAATCCTGTTATCTGTGAATGATTGTAGTACTTCAGACCTAATAATTACATTTTTTGGTGCAACAATCAGCTAAATTAACAACATGAGTGAAATACTGTTTAAAAATACAGTTTATGGGACTTTATCATGCAAGTGAATAATCTTTGTACATTAAGCTCTATAAAGCTAAATACCAGTACATTATCCTTGCATATACATTCAAGAGGAAACTCTGACGTGTACTTACCTTGTTGAAAAGCATGACACCTGCAAAGAGGTAAAAAGTAGTCTGGGTATTAGCTAAAAAATAAACAAATATATAAATAAAACAGAGCAAAAAAAACAACTTTTCTCTCACTTTTTCAACATTTACTACCTGAATTCTGCTCACAAACCTGGCTTCCAAAGATGCTTTAGTCCCAGTCCCTCCATGTCCATCACCATCACAACCTGATCGACACGTTTATCGAGCTAAAAGACGGACAAAGAGTAAAATTAGGGCTCTTACACCATCACCAGCTTCATATTAACTAATCACCAGTCATCTCATTTCACAAATCAATTACTATATATAGCTTAACTATTTACACCCTAACTTCTGCATGGATGACCTCAGTACTGTTCTCCATACATTTCATAAGGTGCTACGAAGAAGAATTTGTTTAACTAGAGTTAAATAGAGGGGTGATCATTTCCTTCATTCTTGTAACCTTGATGTGTGATTTAGGAGTGATATTATAAGGAGAAATTACATGCTGGTCACTCTTAGTCTTAGGGGGGCAAGAGGTTACCCTGGTACATGGTAGAGGATAGACTTTTGTTCTCAAACTTCTCTTGTGGTGTTAGGTTCTAACAACATTATGAACATTTTTTTTTTTTTTCAAGTTAGAAAATGTTTGTTTGAGGGAAAACTTCCTTTTAACCCTTATGAAAGTTAAAAATATTGCAGTTATTCTTTTTCATTATTAAAAATTGAAAGTATAAAACATGAAATTAAAATTCCCAGGAGAAGTTATTGGGGGACATTTTCCCCTTTACACTCTCTGGGAATAAAGAAAATTTTCCATACCCTGGAAGATTGATTTCTGCATAGGAACATTGCATATTCAGCTAAGTAGGCTTTGAATCTGATAATTTCATCTTTCTTCGCAGATGACAGCAACCCTTAAATAATCATTAGTGTACATTTATTTAGTAGATAATAATTGGCAGGTACATATAATATAAAGCTGGAAGTTGAGCTCATTGATATCTCTCTCCAAGAAAGATACTGTTTACCCAAATTGGTGTTATGTGAGTGTGATAGGTATAATGTACTAAACATCTTAAGTTGTTCATTTGTTATACAGATTACTGATATCAATAAAAATTTAAAAGAATTCTAAGTAACTAACAAGAGAAAAATTCACCTTTAAAGTCAATTTGTCCAATTGGATCAATGAAAACTGGAGTGCCTTCTTTATCAAAACCAAAATAACCTCCTGGATAATATTTTGACAATACCTGTCAAAAATAATGATTTCTATGAGGGAATATTGATGTTATTAAATGTTATTCACCAAATGGTCCATCAAGTTGGAGCTTATCCTCATTTCCTTAACATGAGTTAACTAAGCACCATTACTCCTCCCTGTATGGGATGCTCAAGTCCATTGCAAAGCTACCCCCTGACATTTCACCACGCTTCGCTGATGATTTGCTGGTGCCCATTTATTCCCCTGGGTGGAGAGAGACACTATGACAAAGTGTTTTGCCCAAGAACACAACCCATTGTTTGGGCCAGCTAGTTCTCAAACCAATTACCTCTCTACCTAGAGTCCAGTGCACTAATCATAAGGCCACTGTGTCTCCCCATAATTGTTACAGACAAGAAATATATTTTGCTGAATGATTTGGTACTTAATTGCATTCAACTGACTTCTGGAACTATGTAGGTTTCCACCAAAGTGTCAAGTTTCATCTGCCTGCGAACATTCATGCTCTGATGAAAAAAGGGCACATGTCAATTTTTGAGGCAATTAACTAAATTACAAGTTTTTGTCATTTTCACTGATCTAATCAAATGCATCCATTATAGAAAATGGAATCAGTCTGAGAACTTTGAATTTTCAGAAACAAGATAAATTAGGAGAGAAATATGTTCTGTAAATAAAATACAGGTAAGTGCAGATATACGTTACTTTCTCTCACAAAGCATTAAGCTTTCTTACTATATCTCCAAACAAGTCCATTGTAGTAAAGGTTAATCATAGCAAGTTGCAGGGTACCTATCACATATGAATCCTGTCAATGGCCTTGAGAATGACAACAAGTTCTCTTAAGCTTTAACCCTTATTATTCTAACATCAGTAATGCATATTTTCCATGCTATACTCTATACATTTCCTACAGAGCTGACAAGGAGAATTTGCTTCATCCCTAGCTTCTTTAATTGGTGATCTTTGACAAAATTCTATCCAAAGCAGATAACAACAAGATCAATACATCACCTCTCTTAGCATGAATTCTGCTTTTTCGATACTGAAATCTCTTGCTGTCAGGAAGAGTAACAAAGAATTTTTTGAGTCTAGTTGACACAGAGTGACTTCAATATTGCAATACCAGTTTGCACAACAGTATCATATCAAATCACTTAGTTTAAATCTACACTTTACTTGTGTCAGCAATCTCAATGACATATAACCTGTAAAAGGTTTCAATTGGAATGATGGCATCACAAAAAATACCACAGCTTTCTTCAAAGACTACTACCTGAGTTAAAATAGCACAAGTTTTTTCTGAGAACTCAACCCAGCAGTTTTTTACAAAAATAATCCTTTTTCTACTCTTACTAGTATTGTTTGTTATCACATTAGTTGATGATCATGTACTTTGATTACCAGGGCTTTATGTGTTTTATAGAACTACCACTACCCCAACTTCACAGAATTGTAATGAGTACACGTATCTCACATTGCACATACTCATACTTGGAAGATGTTGCTATTTAACAATTGGTGCATGCTTTAGTGTGCGCTATTGAGTTATGGAGCACGCGAGAAGTTTGGAGAGCACAAAAGAAGCGTAACAGTTGCCCGAGGCAAAAGCCGAGGGCAACTCTAGCCTCTTGAGTGCTCTCCAAACTTCCCACATGCTCCATAACTCGATAGTGCACAGCTGAAAGCATGAACCAATTGTTTTAGAACATAGCCGGTGGAATTGTGCATCAAATCTGACACGAAAAACGGACAACAATATCAGTTGAAGCCAATCGTGATGGCGCTGATGCTGATCTCCTTTTCCTTTGTTTTTCTCTTTTTCTGCCTCATTTAAGAACTCTAGCACAAAGGAAAAGGTCGAAACATTGTCTTCGTTTTCGGACTAGTAGGCCGAGTTTCTGTTTGTATCCATTATTGTCGTGAAATATATTATTTTTCCCTGCGCTAACAATGGCTGCTCGCGCAAAAGAAAAAAAATTCTGGCAAAGTCGGATTTGCTGACGCTATCAGCGTGCACTATTGGGATTTTGAGCATGCTTATGCATAATGAATTTGACTGCACGACTCTGCTAGCTATGTTCTAATTTAATTTACGAATGCTCTACTCCTACCTCGCAGCCATCTCAACAAAAAGTGATCGTCATGATTTGAATGACAAATATCACTGACACAAACCCGAAACTGGAAAATAATTTTAAAAAATGAAAATTATTAGAACGTAATTCACTATTATAGCAATAATAATTGTAGAAGTTAAAATCTACACTTGGGTTGTTAATTGATACAAATTTATCAGTTAGGACAATATCGACTGAATTTTAAACATTAGCAACTCCTTGTGATTCAAAAGGCGGTTTGTGGTTGCACTTTTAATCTTCTCTTAACCCTTTAGGATCCCTTCGGGTACTGAGTGACTCATTATAGTCCAACTGTTTTCCTTTTACTTCGAGACCAAAAAAGATTCTTTCTTATTCTTTCACGTAGATTAGGTCCAATCAAAACCATTCAACAGCTTGCTTATACAAAAACAACTAGAAACTACACCTTGAATACCACTGTCTGTAAATGAAGGTTGACAATCTAGCTGTTTCATTTTGTATATATAATTTCTGTTTAGCCCTGTCCTGTTATGGAGAATCTTTTATATGATAAACTGACTTAAGCATGCATTTTGATTGGTACTAACTTCTAAGCTATAAGAGGAGACATGCATAAATGGCATAACATTAATTATCATCATTTTGCTCTTTCATCATATGAAACAAAGAGGTCCCATGTTATCATGCCAGGATCTGAACAGTTTTTCTGTGATAGATCTCGGAAGATGTCAAAATGTAGTAAGAATATCAGTGACACACTCGGCTACACCTCACCGCATGTGATACTTTTTGCTCTTATCAAATTTTGACATCATCTGTGATCTATTAATTATTAAACAGATGCATGGCAATGAGGAGTCTATTTTGTAAATTGTCTATGGTCAGGATTAATTTTGTTTTAGTCTGTTATAAGGCATAATTCTCATGTTTACAACCTCATGTTCCAAATCATTTCGGTCCATAACTTACAAATACATCATACTGAATACACTCATTATCTATATCTCAACTGTTAATGTTGTACTGCTATAGATGGTTAAGTTTACATATCAACCAACTTTGTCTAAAATCTCTTGCTGCTCTTGAGTGAGATCGTCCATTCAGGAAGCTTCCGGCGCCGCGTGATAGAAATAACTTTGAAAAAAAAATTCATAATGAACGAATGACAACTCCATCGTGTGGATTTTGTTCTGATCAGTAAAAATGGATCACCTTGAAAGTCATTGCGCAAGAAGGCAACTAAGAAACCTGAGGGCGAAAGGAATTTTCATAACACAAAGGAAGTAAAATAAATTGACACATTTAACGCTACTAAACGAAATTATAAGAGGGCATAACAAAAAACTATGTTTGACCAAGTCAGAAATGAGAAACTAAGAAAATTTGCAAATTCCCAATCGATCGAGAGGAAACTAGACTATTCCAGCTCACCTTCAAATTAATTTCCTCAAATTAAATATCGGAGTGAAGAAGTTCTTCCCCATTCAGTCCAGTTTCCCCGTTTAGCTTTGGCGATAATGGGGAACACATGTACACCTGGTAACATCAATGCTCCTCTGAAAACACAATTGATGAAAATCTCATCTTTCCGCGAAATATCAAGAACCTTTGAGATAAGTTATATAACTAATTAACAACGGTTTATAACATCTATGCTCCAATGAAAACACGACTGGTGAAAATCTCCTTTTTTCCGTGAAATATCAAGAACCTTCAGTTAATTATGTAATAATTATTATTTAGATCGGGACTTCGAACGTGGGTCACCTAAGAACCAACAACGTCGTGATTTTGACTTCTGAATTACGTGTGGTGATCACATGCGATCAAAAACACCGCCACGAAACATCATAATACTCTTCTTTGGCTATAACGATCATTAATTTATGGCCTCTACCTTCTAAAATTATACACTGGTTTCACAAGAAGCAAAACAAAAGTTCACCCTCAGATCCTCTCGGCCAGGTACAAGTCACGTGCAAGGGAATACATTGGCGCCATCTTCAAATAGGAGCAAATATTTGACTTCAAACTTATCATGTTCTAAGTGACCTCAGAGATGGAAGCTAACTACAACGAAGAGCTAAATGCTACCAGAGAGCTGCTTAAGGGCCTTAGCATCAATCAAGAGACAAAACACGAAGTAGAGCAAGAGAAACAGAACAGACCGTCTATCTCAGGTTAAAAGCTTAATTTTGCATGCCGTTATCTTCGAGTTAAAAGGTTCTATTTTTGCTAAATAATTCGTCTTCAAATGATAACCATGGCTGATTTTCAGGAGATCTAAGCTTAGTAATGCTCCTCAGGATTCATTTCTCAATGTCCTAAGGGAGGAAGGGGTTGAACAAGCTAATGGTGGGGGATCTCTCCGAAAAATACCGGTAGATATTTCGGATAAGGAAAAACCTTCAAGCATAATTAGAGGTTAAGAAGTGCCTTTACTAGCCCATATTACGGTGGAACTTCCATTGATGGAACCAAGGCTCATTTTAAGTCGTAAATGATTTTTAGCGTTTGCATAAGTGACTCAAGGAAACTGTGGGTGACTTATTTAAGACTACCATTGGCAAGATTTCCGTATAACCCCGTACTTCATTACGCATACAATTCTTGGATAAAAGAAAACAGAGGCAAAACAACAGATTACCTTTGGGACTTCAGCTTTTTTTTTTGATTGGCATGGGGTTATACGGAAATCTTTCCCTACCATTTAATGTCATTAACACATTTTGTTTTTCAGATCACTCAGATGACAATGAAGAGAACAAGTTACGGTACAACCGTTTGATCAAAAAAGGCAAAGAATTAGGAAGACAGGGACACCTTGAGCCAGCCCTCCAATTATTTGAGAAGGCTTATGTCATATTTGAATCTGAAAAACTTCTTAGAAGAATTGAAAAAATCAAGGTTCAGTTTCATAATTATGATGTGTGACCTTTTGAACAAGGTTTTCAGTTTAACCCTTTAATTTCCAAGATCTGACTGTTAATTCTCCCCTCCAGTTGATACACATTTGCTTGTAAATCAGTCTCAAGAATTTGGTGTAAGATCAACTTCTACCTGATAAGTTTTTATTTATTTTATAATTTTTTTTATTTGGAGATTTACCATAAGGTAGGTGCAGAAACAATAGGATTCTTAAGTCCCCTACTAGGTTTTTACACCACATCTGCAATTCCCACCCATCCCACCCCAGGGGAGGACATCCACCACACAGTAATCTCGTGCGTGGGAAATTAACGTCTCCTACCCCTAACCCTGCGGGAGATGGAGTCTACTGTTTATTTGTCCGTATCCAAGAAGACTAGAATATCTATCCATTTCTTGATATTATAGAAAGGTAGCAAATACTCTTCAGTTATTTTAAGACCATGAGTATTGGTCCAGCCGGGGCACGAACCCTCGACCTCCCGCACATCACATTCTGGCACTCTAACCAACTGAGCTAACTGTTTGAGTATTCTCAGTACTTGTTTGCAGGATAATGTATGGATAGTAAAGGGAGATGTTACGTGTTAATCAATTCTAGGAATTCAAGTGTTTTTTAGCAGTGTTATGAAAATTATCTTTATTTTCTCACTTCTATTTGATGACTGTAAATGACACACTCATCTTTAACTTCAGAACACCTTCTTTAACTTTCTCAGGGAACGTAGAGTGAAGTTATGTCTTGAAGTTGTCGATAGAGGAGTTAGCCCTTTAACTTGAACTACTTAACATGTAACCTCTCCCTATAATATCTATACATTATCCAGCAAATAGGTGATGAGAGTACTCAAACTTATCAGGAAGTTATCATGATCTTATACCAAATTCTATGGGAAAATTCATTACTTAACAAGGGAATTCTGCATTAAATTGCACGCAAAAACCAATATTGCACAAATTGTAAAGTGATGAGTGCAATATCAGTTTTCAAATGCACTTTAATGCAGAATTCATTAGTCAAGTAATGGATTCTCCTTGAATCACATAATTGAATTAAAATAAGAAAAAAGAAAGAAAGAAAACAGCTTTACTTAAAGTTGTTCTATATACGTAGATGTGAAACAATATCACTCAGCCTCATTTTCAACTTGCAATTCCAAGCTAAATACCTCGCTTCATCAACTGATTCGAATGCAAGATTTTATTCATTGATGTGATTCTGGTAGATATATTTTAGTTTAAGTTTAAGTTTAATTGATTC